GTGTATGATGAGTGGTGTATGATGAGTGGTGTATGATAAGTGGTGTATGATGAGTGGTGTTTGAGATCAATGGTAGAACAACGAACTGGAGCTAGAGATCAGTGGTAGAACAATTAACTAGAATTACAGCTAATGTAAAAGTTCGTAACGCGGAAGTTCCTCTAAACTTCCTTTGATCAGTATCATTTATGTCAGCCATTTTTGCATATGAAGCACACCTTGAGGCCGAGTGCTGGTTGGTGTTTACTGCTTGTTTCAGGACATTTGGGGGGGAAGGGTTCCATTGCCTGCGTGATGAGCTCATGCCGCCGCCTACACCTCTTTCTCACAGGCAAGGGGGTCTACACATTGTTTAACACTCTCTGTAGACTGCCCATGCAACTTGCAAAGCTTGGCTGTGTTTTATTGCAGTTCATTTCTCAGATTGAGTCGTTATGTACCTTCCTGAATAATTTGCGATGCCAGGGATATGGCCTCAGATGGCCCGCGATGTTACGTAGGAGTGCCTTCCTCAATGCTGATGTATTCAGTGAAATGTGGTTTGAGTTGGTAACAGAATGGGCAAGACTAGCAGTTTGTTGATCCCCATGCTAGAGTTTGCTAGAGAGTCTAAACATGCTAGAGTCAGTCAGCCAACTTGTATTCACACGGTGGCGCCAGAACCAGCATGAAGTGCATTGAACAAAGACGAGTGGCACTGATGGTGTTTGTGTTTGATCTTCGAATAGTTAAGTTTCCCTAAAAATCTACTAGGAACAAGGACGCCACTAGGGGCTCCTGGCATCGCTACTAGGAGCAAGGACGCTACTAGGGGCTCCTGATCGTACTACTAGTAACAAGAAGCTACTAGGAACAAGGGCATTTCTACTAGTGCGAGCACTTCTTCAAGGAAGCTCCCCCCGCTTAAGTAAGGTACTAGCTACCTAGCTACTACCTCACCTCGACGGCCTACCCCCCCAATAGCTTCTTGTTACTAGTAGCGATGCCCTTTGTTACTAGTAGCTTCTTGCTCTAGTAGCAAGGCCAAGTAGCTTGCTCCTAGTAGCTCCTCGTAGCGTACTAGTAGCTTGCTCCTAGTAGCTTGTTCAAGACTGAGGTGTGCACCTTTCAGAATCAAGGAAAGAATGCTGAGAACCAGGCCTGCAACGGGTCAGTTGTGAGCCTTTCGCAAGTTCCATGAGCACTTGAACACTCAATTGACTGAAAAACAAAAAGAACTGTTGAGGATTCCTACATCGCCACTGAAAATGGCACAAAGAGCTTGGTGGCTGTTCTGGATGGTCATGGAGAGCAAGGTGAGCCTGTTTGAAAGCTTGCTGTGATTTGCAAATCATAAACGGCTCGTTGAGACTAGAGCAAAGGATTCAAAGGATCGGGAATTCCCGCCCTCTCAGGCAAGAGAGTCTCAGAGTTTGCCCGTTCGCAGTTGGCCAAGAACCTCTATGCCAGCAAGGTGCCAACACCTTGCAGAATTGCTGTACACAATTCTGCAGAATCGAATTTTGCTGCAATTGCTTCTTTAAACAATTAAGGACATCTACAGACTGTATGTGTATAAATGGGGTTGCCTTACTTCAGTTGTTTGGAATCATTCTGCTTGGAATATCTCGGAATAGCGTTTTGGCCAATATTATGTGCATGAAATCTGCCAATGCTGGAAAAAATTAGAATGTTTATGAGGATAGGTCTTGGTAGAGAGGAGCAAGGATGGAAGGTTCTCAAAGACCGAAAAGGTATCAAACTTGTGTTCCTTGAGATGCATGCATTTTGATGCACTAGGACCACTAGGAAAGGTTGAAGGTCATCTTGCGTGTATCTCCGATGACACCAAACCACAGGGTGCCAACCCTTTGCAGGATCTCTATACCAAGCCTGCCGTGGCGATGGAGAATTCCTTTGCAGAGACACAACGTAGCATTGAGCGAAGCCATGCCATCGATGCACAGCGTTCGGGGACGACGGCCGGAAGTTTGTTGAAATGGACGGGTGGACTGTACACTCCAGACTTTAGCCTAGCGACCTAAGGGGCCTAGGCACTACGGCACTACTTGATGATTTGAATCCATCCGGACTTTGCATTGCAAACTGGTTTGGAACACCTCTGGCATTTCTGCAGGCTGTGGTTTGCTATCGGCATCGCGATCACTTGGTAGTGGCCAATGTGGGTGACTCACGAGCAGTACTTGGGAGATGTAGCTCGAGAGAGGCCCCGGATGCTGCACCAAACATTGTCACCACAAAGCCTGACAGCGATAAGAAAAGGAGGTCAGCAGATGCAAAAGTGCATGTTGCATGAAAGCTTTTTGGGTTTTACCATATCTCTATATATATAGTCTATACATATCTACAGAGCGTACTTAAGAATATGTCCTCAAGTCGGGGAGAAATGAAAAAAGATCAGGCCAATCATTTGCAAGCGGGAGCAGTGTCAAAGATTCAAGATTCAAGATCCAAAAAAGCTCTTGAATCCAGAAACTTGGAGGAGGAGAGACTCGGCATTCAAGAACTGTTTGTTAGATCTTGAATCTTGGATCCAGGTACTACTTGGAACAAATTTTGCCACAGGAACCGGTTTGAAAACGTTTGCAATGGCTGACCGGCCCCAAACATGCGAGAATATCAATCAAACTATGCAGAACATTGCCACATTTGAAGAAGCCATCAGTAAAGAACTACATCACAAATGAGAGTTGGACAATACATTGAATTTTATGGAAAGATGGCCAGAGAAAATGGTCTGGAACCCATTGGTGAAACTGATGAAGAATTCAAAGCATTTGGAGCGTCAATTACTGATGTGCCTTGAACAAGGTGTTCAGAGAATCAATGTATCAGCCAGGGTAGTCTGATGTACTCCTATAAGCCGTCAAAACAAGACCCTCGTATTAAAACAATTTTTGGATTGATTAAGGATGATCACATCAACACACTAAACCAAGACTTCAAGGCACTAAGAAGAACGCTTGGTATGAACAAGGAATACAGCCACATCCACACCAGAGACGAACCCATTGAATGTAGGATGATTGAAGGCATTGAGGACCTTCTGAAATACACTGAGAAGGATGAAAACACCATGTTCTACAAAGGCAAGCTGTATTATCAAAGCAATCAGGCAGGATACAATCACATCACGTTTTGTTCAGGCAATATTTCATACGTAGTTGAATTTCAGGTTCAAGCTGTAAAAAGGACAAATGTGGAATCAACTATAAGATGAAACCCCCAAATCTAACAGGCTCAACCAGTGCCAGTATAACAGCTGAGGCTAAGAAAACATATTTTAAGGCTTACACCTGACAGCCGGGCGCCGGCCCAACACAGGGCAAACGTAGGACGGTAGAGGGGATAGAGGCAAAAGACATGAGGCGACGGGGGCCGGGACGTCTGTGGGTCGGTCGGTCGGTCGGTCCGTCGGTCTGTCTGTCTGTCTGCCTGCCTGCCTCCCTGTCTGTCTGTCTGTCTGTCTGTTGTCCCTCTCTCTCTCTCTGTCGCTGTCTTGGTCCCTGTCCGTCTCTGTCTCCGTCTCTGTCTCCCTCTGGCCCTGTCTGTCTGTCTGTCTGTTTGTCTGTCTGTCTGTCTGTCTGTTTGTCTCTCTCTTTGGGACAGTGTGGGGCATATGTGGCCACATCTGAACCTGTCTTATCCCATCTATAGGGGCTATGCTGAGTCATCTTGGGTTGGCGCGTGGGACGCGCGTGCCATATCTGGGACCTATGTAGGGTCATCGTGCGACTATGTGTGCCATATCTGAGACCTATGCAGGGTATTCTGGAGGGCCAGGTTCTGTCCGCCCGGCGCGCATGACCCACACCACCCTTGAAAAACACAGCGTTTTTGCCTTTCTCCCTCTTCGCCGGGCTCCCGTTCAGTATGTGTAAAACACAGTGTTTTGTGTACCTCATCCGTTGCTGTTGGAGCCTGCCCGACACCCACGAAATGTCGATTAATCCTCTCCGCGCGGCGCGCATTACCGACACCACCCTTGAAAAGCACAGCATTTTTGCATTTCTCCCTCTACGCCGCGTCGCACTTCAGTATGCGCAATAAACCCTGTAAAACACAGTGTTTGGTGTACCTCACACACCCGAAACACTGTAAATTACATGGTGGGAGGTGAACACGGGGTGGTCGGCGGCGGGGGTTGCCGTTCCCTAAAACTTTGCCCTTCGGGCGCAACACGGGCTGGCCCAGGGGCCGGCGCCCGGATTTAAGGGTTTACGCCCGACAGCCTTCCAGGGGCTTTGAGGTAGGGGGCTGGACGGTGGAAGATTGGGTGCGGGTGCAGGTTGGGCGGGCTTGGGGCTATGTTGCGCACAGCTTGGGTCTAGCTTAGGCCATCTGGAGCCTTTGTTGCGCGGTCTTGTGGCTATGTTGAGCATAGCTTGCGTCTAGCTTGGGCCATCTTGGGCCTATGTTGGCTCAGCTTGAGCCCATGTTGGCCTAGCTCGGGCCCATGTTAGCCCAGCGTCCGCCCACGATGCAGACGAAGCACACCGGTGCAGCACGCATTTCCAGCATTATTTGGGCCTATGTTGGGCTATGTTGACCCATCGTGAGCAACAAGAGCGGGAAAAAACAACGTCAAAAACCCTAGTTTTCTGGGGTCGGCGGCAGGGGTCGGCTTTGCTTTCTGCTTCGCAGAAGGAGAAGTGCATTACGCAGGACACGGCCCTGACGGGGTATACGCCCCTGGCCGAATTTAAAGGCTTACGTTAACAGCCGGGCGCCGGCCCACTTTTGGGTCTGTGTAGGGCTGGGTCGGGTGCTCGTTAAGCTATCGGGGGCGTACGGCCCTGGGTGGTGCCAAGGTGGGAAACTGGTCCGCGTCGGAGACGGGGGCCCTATATTGAGCAAAGTTGAGCTATCTGGCGCGCATCTTGGCCCTAGGTTGGGCCAAGTTGGGCCCATGTGGTCTATGTTGGGCACATCTTGGGCCCATGTTGAGCCTATGTTGGCCTATGGCCTATGTTGGCCCCATGTTGGCCTACGTTGGCCCTATGTTGGGCCAGTGCGCATCTTGGCCCTAGGTTGGGCCCATGTGGTCTATGTTGGGCACATCTTGGGCCCATGTTGAGCCTACGTTGAGCCTATGTTGGCCTATGTTAGGCCTATGTTGGCCGAGGTTGGGCCTATGTTGGCCCCATGTTGGCCTATGTTGGCCCTATGTTGAGCCATCTTGGAGGCTATGTTGGGCACACGTTGGGGATATGTTGGCTATCTTGGGCCTATGTTGAGGATATGTTAGGCAATGTAAGTCGTCTGGAGGGCCTCTACCCACAAAATGTCGATTAAGCCTGTCCGCCCAGCGTGCATTACCGACGCCACCCTTGAAAAACACAGCATTTTTGCATTTTTCTCTTTCCCACGCGTCGTACTTCGATATGCGCAATAAACCCTGTAAAACACAGTGTTTTTTATACCTCACACGCACACACGAAACACTGTAAATTACGTTGATATCAGTGAACCGGTGGTCCCCCCGTTTTGGTCCGGAGGGTCGGCGGCAGGGGGGCGAGCGTCTATAACCTTCGGTTACCACCGAAGGCCCTCCGGGCAGGGCACGGGCTTCGTGGCCGGCGCCCGGATTTATGAGGCTTACGCCGGCCCACTTGGGTCTGTGGGGCGTATGTCACGCCTATGTTGGCCTTGATGGGGCCTATATTGAGCAAAGTTAAGCTATTTGGTGCGCATCTTGGCCCTAGGTTGGGCCAAGTTGGGCCCATGTGGTCTATGTTGGGCGCATCTTGGGCCCACGTTGAGCCTATGTTGGGCCTATGTTGGCCTATGTTAGGCCTATGTTGTCCTAGGTTGAGCCTATGTTGGGCCTATGTTGGCGTATGTTGGCCCCATGTTGGCCTGCGCTGGCCCTATGTTGAGCCATCTTGGAGGCTATGTTGGGCACATGTTGGGGATATGTTGGCAATCTTGGGCCTATGTTGGGGAGATTTCATGCAATTTATGTAGAAAAAATCTTCCGATACAACTTTTTACGATTCTTCCTTCCCGCAAAGCAAAAACCATGGAAAAACCTACGTTTTTTAACATCGCCAAGATGAAATTCTCGGCCGCCCAAAACCCTGTAAAACACAGCGCTTTGTGTACCTCACACACACAAAACACTGTAAATTACATATAAATCTGTCGACCGGATTTAACCTGAGGTCGGGCGGAGGTCGGGCGGAGGTCGACCAGAAGGGTCGGCGGCAGGGGCGGCGAGCGTATATAACCTTCGGTTACCAACCGAAGGCCTCCGGCAAGGACACGGGCGCGTGGCCGGCGCCCGGATTTATGAGGCTTACGCCTGACGGCCGGGCGCCGGCCTATTTGGGTTTGGGTATGTGCAGGGCTGGGTCCTGTCTCTGTCTCTCTGTTCTCCCTCTCTCTCTCTCTCTCTCTCTCTCTCTTTCTTTGGGACTTGGTGGGGCCTATATTGAGTAAAGTTAAGCTATCTGGTGCGCATCTTGGCCCTAGGTTGGGCCAAGTTGAGCCCATGTGGTCTATGTTGGGCACATCTTGGGCCAAAGTTGAGCCTATGTTGGGCCTAGGTCGGCCTATGTTAGGCCTAGGTTGGGGCTATGTTGGGCCTATGTTGGCGTATGTTGGCCCCATGTTGGCATATGTTGGCCCTATGTTGAGCCATCTTGGAGGCTATGTTGGGCATATGTTGGCTATCTTGGGCCTATGTTGGGGATACGTTAGGCAACTTATGTGCCCAACACCCACAAAATGTCGATTAAGCCTGTCCGCGCGGCACGCATAACCGACACCACCGGTGCCCTGTTAGGCGAAAGTCGTCGCCGCCGAAAGCCACGAAACACTGTAAAACACGATGTTTTTGAACGTTCTGCGCAAAAAACCTGCTAGATACATATAAATCCGTCGACCGGATTCGGGCGCAGGTCCACCAAAAGGGTCGGCGGCAGGGGCGGCGAGCGTATATAACCTTCGGTTACCAACCGAAGGCCTCCGGCAAGGACACGGGCCCGTGGCCGGCGCCCGGATTTATGAGGCTTACGCCTGACAGCCGGGCGCCGGCCTATTTGGGTTTGGGTATGTGCAGGGCTGGGTCCTGTCTCTCTCTCTTTGTCTCTCTGTCTCTCTCTCCCTCTCTCTCTCTCTCTCTCTCTCTTTGAGACTTGGTGGAGCTATCTGGCGCGCATCTTGGCCCTAGGTTGGGCCAAGTTGAGCCCATGCGGTCTATGT